TACCTACCTACCTACCTACCTACCTACCTACCTACCTACCTACCTACCTACCTACCTATACCTATATCCTCCTTTCTAGATAGATAGATAGATAGATAGATAGATAGATAGATAGATAGATAGATAGATAGATAGATAGATAGATAGATAGATATAATCTACCGGCTGTGATTAAATAAGGTTAACCTAGTTTGTGAATTAACCCGGTTAAGGACACTAAGACTTACTACCATTCCTGAGTTTCCAGCTCCCCCTAGTGGAGAGGTGCGGTCATTGCTGGCAGTACAACGCGTTCCGCCCCCGAGATTTCCTATTGGTTGTCTGTGCCCATCCCTTCGTCTGCGATTGGGCGAAGCGCTTTTCAATATCCGGAAGGAGGCAAGATGGCGGCTGTAAGACCGGGGTGGGTGGGGAGAAATGTTTTTCGGGGGGCGGGGGGCGCTGCTTTTTCACGTCTCTTTAACTGAAAGAGGGAGAGAGCAATGTAACCCCTCCTGCAAGAATTATTATTAATGGTAAAGCAATAGCATCCTTGAAAATTGGCTTGTGTAGTTATTCCCATATGGTGGACTGCCAGACCCATCCTCCACAGCCAGCATGGAGCAAAGAGGGGAGTTGGGAGTTGACAGGTCTGCCAAAACTCAGCAGGGAGGAAGATAGAAAAAAGGTGGGGGCCCTTATCTTAATGTGGAAATGATTTTTTGACAGTCCAGGATTTTTTTAAAAAAAACTTCCTTTAGGGTTACCTGGTGGTGCTCCATCCAAGTCACAAATCAGCACTTGGCTCTGCAGAGAACCTGGGAGCCAGCTGAGGATGCTCAACGGTTGAGTCCAAACTGTGCCCATTCTGTAGATGGATTTTGCATGCGGAAGGGTTGCGTGGGGGGGTGGGGAGGCATATTTATAGGAATTGTTGCCTCTCCTCCCCAGCCCATCTCTTGCTATCCAGAAGGGCCGAGGGGGGCTGTCCTCTGCTTCCAGGGTTGCTTTTGAGATGTCTTCCCTCCCCGGAAAAAAGGTTTGGCTTCTCTTTAGAATAGAATAGAAAATAATAGAATGGAAATAGAATAGAATGGAAATAAAAGAGAGGAGAGGAACAGTGTAGGAGTGGGAATGCCCTGGATTTCTAACCACAATTTTTTTATTAGTTATTGTATTTTATCCTGCCTTTGCTTTGAAGTGCTTCAGATTTACTACGAGGGTAATTTTCTAATTTCAAATGGGAGGCTTAGAGATAGGAACTGGTCCAATTTTTACTTGCTCAATCAGTCGCACAGCTGTTGCAACCTTAAGTTACAAGTATTAAAATCGGCCTTGACAATCCGCACCTTTGTTGGCAGCCTGTTGCCTTTGTGTTTTCCTATTTTGTCAAGGTTTGGCATCGCCTCTCTTCCTGAACCTGGAAATTCAAGCTGAAATTAAGGGGGAATTCTGACAGGGAGAACAATCAACCCATGGAACAGAAGTTGCCTTCGGACGTTGTGGGAGCTTCATCCCTGGAGGGGAGGCTTTCAAGAAGAGGCTGGACTGCCATCTGTCAGAAATGGTGTAGGGTCTCCTGTTTGGGCGGGGGGGGGTTGGACTAGATGACCTACAAGGTCCCTTCCAACTCTGTTATTCTATGTTCAATGGAATGACTTGCCTTCAGTGGTTGTGGGAGATTCATCCCTGGAAGCTTTCAAGAAGAGGCTGGACTGCCATCTATCAGAAATGGTGTAGGGCCATGATGATGAACTTATGGCACATGTTCCACAGGTGACACGCGAAGCCATCTCTGCTGGCACGCAAGCTGTCAGCTCCAGTGCGCATGTGCGCACCAACCAGCTGATTTTCAGCCTTCTGGAGATCTGTGGCAAGCCATTTTCGCCCTCGCCAGGCTTCAGGAAAGCCTCCGGAGCCTGGGGAGGGAGAAAACTCCCCCCATGTGGGGGTGGGTCGTGCATGCATGCATGGGGAGTCACATGCACATGCGCAGGTTGGCAGGGCACACTGCATTGTGGGTGTGGGCACACGCACACACACACACATTTTTAGCATGCCTTTACAAAAAGATTCGCCATCCCTGTTGTAGGGTCTCCCACTTAGGCGGGGGGTTGGACTAGATGACCTCCAAGTTATCTTCCACCTCTGCTAATCTGTATCTGTATTCCAACTCACGGGCATCTCTTTATTTCATGGCTACATTATATTGCAGCAATCTCCCTCATTAGTTGGTGCTGATTTACTCTGCGTTATTTTTTTCAGGTGTCTCCTATTTAAGCACCAAGCCACATTAGTATTTGGGGTAAACAGTTGAGCATTGAACTTCACCTCGATTGCTGTAAAATGTGCTAAAAGTTTCCTTTTTATGGGAGGTGGCCTGCAGAATGGAAAGCGGCAATATACTAATGACTTTAATGGCTACCCCATTGAGATGCTGGCGGAGGATACACACTCAAGGGTGTGAATTTTTAGGAGCCTTACATGGTTGCTAGTAATTCACCTTTCCCCACTTCAATAAAGCACCCACTCCCCTAAAAGACAAAACATTGGAGCTATAATTAAATGGGGGCAGGGGGGTCTGACGTGAGTGCGCTGACAGGTAGCCAAACCCACTGCCTTTCTCCTTCTCAATAGCTGAGGATGAGCATCAGCCGTGGTTGGCTAAGACAAATTTAGTCCATTCTTTGAAGACTCCGTAAGGCTTAAATTGGGGGCCTCTGTAATTTTTTTCAGCATCTCATCAGTGACCCCAATTTGAGCTTATTTCAAGGCTTTAACAATGGGGTTATTATTTCCTCCTTGCCGAAGGCAAAAATCGTGGTGGGGCATGATTAAGTTGGATAGCAGTGAGCATGGAGAGAGGCAGAGAGAGATTGAGAGGAAAAGAGAGAGACAGAGAGAAAGGAAAAGAGATTCAGAGATTGAGATAGAGGAAAAGAGTGAGAGGAAAATAGAGGAAAAGAGATTGGGTGGAAGAGAGAGAAAAGAGATTGGGAGATTGAGAGAGGAAAAGATATTGGGAGATTGAGAGAGGAAAAGAGCGAGGGAGAGAGAGAAGAAAAGATTGGGAGAAGAAAAGAGATTGGGATATTTTTTTTAATGAAAATTTTGAAAAACAAACTTTTACAAATATTCTTGAATAGTAGGCAAATCTTCCTTCTTCCAATATTGCGCCATCAATAACGGGTTATTAAATGCAAAATCAGGTTAATCTCTACAACTGTACAATCAGTAATTATACCTTACAAAAATAACTGAGATTGGGAGATTGAGGGAGGAAAAGAGAGAGGAAAAGAGATTGGGAGACAGAGAGAGGAAAAGAGAGTGAGAGAGGAAAAGAGAAAAGGAAAAGAAATTGGGAGAGGAAGAGCGAGAGGAAAAGAGATTGGGAGATTGAGAGAGGAAAAGAGAGAGAAGAAAAGATGGGAGATTGAGAGAGGAAAAGAAAGGAAAAGCGATTGACAGATTGAGAGAGGAATGAGAGAATATACATACATACATATACACACACACACACACACACACACACACACACAATGTCTTCTCCTTGTTTAGAGAAGATACAGCAGTTCCTAAGAGGTTGGACTCTGTTACTGGTCGGCCATGGCAGGCTAAGAAATAATGCTTTTTTTGCATGATTTTCTGTTTCTGTTCCAGACTGGAGTGAGCAGAAAACCTTCCTTCTGGAAACGGCCTTGCCTTTTCTAGACCAAGGGCTGATCCCTGGGCCATCAGCCCAAAAAAGTTATTTCCTCACCCAAAAACACCCCTTTTCCC